ATCTTAATCGAATCTCTCTAACTGTTTGATTCTTTTGGTATTATTAAGAAATTTAAACAGATTACGATAAGGCTGAAAGGAATGAATAAGAATGGCTGGAGATAAGGGATCAACGAGAACGGAAATGAAAGGGGACAAACGTAATAATCGCCCGCGGTGCGAAAAACACTGCTCCAAAGAGCACGGTTATTTTCTGCCGGTGCCACTTGATTCAAGGGGCGTGCTCTTAATTTTAGATTTCCACGTTGCCATAAGACTCGATCTCGCTTTACTCCCTTGCCCTGTTTTCCCACTCCATCGTGGAACAAAGCCGATAGAGCAGATGTATTGTAATAAAGTTCTTTATCCCGCTACCAAGGGCATCTCAACAAAATGAACTGTATCTAATCTTCATAAATGTTTTAATCGAACAGAAAAGTTGTTTGTGGTCTCAAACACCATAGAATGACATTTAAAAAGATAACGTATATCAAAATAATAAAATAATAAAATAATTATAAATCTGGGCCAAGTGTATTAAGTTTTGTAACGTATAGTACTTTCGCGCGATACAAGAAATTGGTACTATGAAAATGAAATGTATACACAATTTTGATTAAGAAAAGAAACTGTTTTAGAAAGTAAGGGTATTTGAAAATATTTTCTATTTTCAGTACACATAAAATTTACAAAAAGTCATCGAATCCAAAATATACCGGAAGTTTTGAGTTTCACAGACGAAAGAAACCGAAACGAAAGATAAAAAATGGGACATATGGGATGATATTTATGGTTTAACATACTGCGAAATGATATTTAAAGAAATAATAAATATCAAAAATAAATGTTCCACGTAATATTACGTAGAATGTCTAAAATTAGACGAAAGAAAATCATCGCGAAAGAAGTGTCCCGGAAGTTACAAACATTTATAAAGTATCTCAGTCTTCCATCTTGACAGAGAAAGAACTTGGAAAGCTTTCCGCGTTGGCTCATAGATCACGTAGCTCATCGGGTCGTTAAAGTCGATCGTTTGTAAAGCGAGAAACGGCGCTCTTGGAATCTTATTTTCCATCGCGTGGGTGCACCGTGTGGGTTCGCGTAACATTTCCTATTTTATTTCTCAAGGTCCAACCTCGAGGTTCATTATACTTCCTAGTAAATTGCGTAAACAAATATTCATACGATAACAAATCTCCTACCTTACTGTTTTTATCTTGTCGCGATCTTTCAATTGTCATGTCTCAATCTGACCTTCGTTTCCACGTAGAAAATGGTTTTTAACGTTTTAAGAATATATTCAACATAAAATTGAAACGAGAAATCACATACGAGGATCTCAGGAGAAAAACATGACAAGCACTTTAATTAATTTTAATGTCGCTTTATGATTCAACGGAGGACATAATTGAAAATGAAATTATTAAAGTAAGCAATATTTTAATATTAACGAGCAATGTTGTTAACACTGTAGGTAGAATGACGAAATTTGTTCAGCTTTGAAATCAATTGAGAAGAAAATTTTGATAACAGAGAACTGACGACATATCAAATTTTCAAACTGCATACCTCTACAAAAATAGAAAGTGTCGCTTATCGTGTTCTTCCTCTATAGTTTCTACATGTCGATAGCAACAACTCTTTCTTATTTTCTGCTAACTTAGACATTTTTTAAAGGTAAAAAATACGATTCGATAGGAAATGACCCAAAGAATGCGGGAAGGTTAATATATCGCCCTTCTGTCCGATAAAGTGGCGAGTGGGAAAGTTAGTAAACCGCAAGATTTCCATGTAAAGAATAGCGATAAACTGTTATCGCGGAAATTCATGAATTTACGATATACGCGGCTCGACTGGTATGCGGTTTCAATTACGGGTGGAATATAAAAGAACCGTTTGCAATCAGGTGCATTTATCGAAGACCCATTTCGATACACAATATCAGAGACAACAGCGAAATGAAAAACTGTTGACAGTGTGACACGGCACGTCAATAACAGGAAGAAAATCCGCATCAGATTGACGAAATATAGATACAGCCCGAAAATGAAACCAATATAATCGATTCCCTAGCATGACAGAGACCAAACGTCTACATTTTCCTTCCTCAGAATTGAATAGTTATCACGTGGCAAAATTGATTTTTTCGTGATGCTAACGTTTTTCATCAAAAAGCAGGTGTTTCGTCGTTATCGTAAATAATAACAAGGTGAATTCATACTTTATACTTTACAATATTTTCACTCATGCCGAAAGATCATCCCCATTTGTATTGAAGATATTCAAATTTCTGCTGTATCCAAAGTGAACATGCAAGGTAACCAGTAGCGTAGTAACGAACGAAATAGTCGATCTTTATTTTTGATGAGACAAATGGATGACTCATTCGTAGTAAAACGAATGATAAATCGAAACCTGTCCAATAACAAGCGAACAGTAGTAAACGACACTCGTTAGTTCGTTAGTAGACATACTGAAAACTATGAAGCAAATTCGACCATTAAACTGATATAAATAGTTCTTCATCATTTACATTCACCGTGAATGAATCATCTAAATGTGTTACACGTCCAAACTATAAAAGTATAAATTCACCTTTATATCGGTGGTTTAGTTTAAATTCTCCTCTTTCGTCGGTTATCCTGTCCTTTCTACTTTTACTATTCGTTTTATTCTCAGTTCTCGTAAACGAACCACATCGATATAACCATCGCTAACAATTTAGGTCACAGCTTTATTGGAAGCATGGGCTGATCGTTAACGAAACGAATTGAATCGGAGTCGTCTCCCGTTTCACCTCGTCCCGTTTCTTTTCCCCAACGCTTGACAGACGCATCGCCATGACGTAACCGTCCCGAATATTCGAAATGGTTCGGTGAACTGGGGTAGGAGTAGCGTGGGCGATGATTCGTTTCGTTCCGTTTAACGTAGGTCGGAATTTGGGCTGTGGAAATCGGACTCGGCTTCAGGATTCGTTCCTATTACCGCAGTTCGTGTTGACGAAATCCGTAATCTCTGCTTCGAACTCGTTTCACCTTCCAACGCGACGCTGGGAAAAGTTCTAAAATTTCCATTTTCGAGACTCCAAAGTGTATAGGTTTCAATTTATCAAGGTAACTGACTTTCAAATCCTTTAATTTCCGAGGGTTTCTATTTCTAAATCTCTTCATTTTCTCATGTTCAAAGTTCGAATCTTTTGATCTTCTAAAAATACAATTGCTGAATCTTTAAATACTCCAATGCTCAAATCATCAAAGTTTCAAATACGTCAATGCTCATATTTTTGAATTTTTTAATTTCTCAATGCTCAAGTTTGCAAATTATTGAAGTTCCCGCGCTTAAATGTTCTAACATGGCAATTTAACAGATTTTTCAACTTTTAAATGTATAAATTTTCAGATCATGGAATTAAAATTTTGCAAATTTTCAAGATTTCATTGCGTAACGTACTCCAGTCTTTGAAACACTTTAAATCGCGCGATCGTCAGGTAGATAAGCGAAGCCAGAGGAAAGTAATCGTTGGCTTACGTGTATTATGCAAATCTTCTTACCGTTCTTGTAAAAATAATGAGATCATCTACGATGATGGAAAGAAATCAAACGCACAGAAGAAACTTATTCCGTTATGAACCTTGGTCGTTATGCCCAGTCTTTGTTAGTTTCTTAGTTTCGACCTTTGATCTATTTCCAGACGAACGGCGTGTCGTCATGATAAACCGGCATTTTACCTCCGCCAGGCAGGACGTATTTCCGGCCACGTTAGTCAGCCAGTTTAAATACACTTGCATTAACCACTAAGTTTTCGTTTCTGTCCGTTCGTTTCCCTTCCCTTACCTGAAACCTCCGTTTTCTTTCTCCCTTGTCGGAGCCAAGTTGTATTTCTGACAGCCTCTCACCGACAGATCGAGGTTAATTGGCTACTATCAGGACGAAAATTAGCGCGAATTAGTCCCCGGACGATGAGTTTCGTCAGTTGAATTACGGCCCGCGAGTTTTGGCCTATCAGTTAATTAATCGCGCGACGCGTCGTGACGTTATCACCTCCGTCTACTTCCGAACTGGTGCAGAAACATCAGCCAAAAAGCTTGACAGTTACCAGTACCGTTATTCCAAACGTTACGTTAATCCTCCTAATAGTCTCACATTCAGATTCTCATAAGCAACATCGTGCCTCTAATTTACATTCGAGGGATTTAGCTTAGAACTACCTTTAGGTGAGTCAGTTACTGTTAAGACCACCAACATCAACAAACACGAATATCACTATCGCGAGGAACAAACCTGCTGTTATGGTTCGTAATGATCTTGGGTAATCTGTGAATATTCTGAAGATTTGCATGATGTTGCGAAACACTTCTCTCAGCAGATACAAAAATTGTTGTACGTGTTTGGCGCGGACGTGCTTGTCGTTTACATGGAGACTGAATTTGCAAGACGGTGAGAAATATTATATTGAAACTATGCGTGTCAATCATACTTTACTACGTCCTTGGCGTAATTCATCTTTCGAAGAGGCATAGATAGGTTTAGAATAATTATAGATGCATTATAGATGCATTAAGAAATTAAAGATGGTATAATTTTTCGTCATTTTCCTGGAGAACGACAAACGTGGACAAAAATCGTTTTTTTCTTTTTCACGAGCTCTACAACTGTCCAAATGATGTCATAAACCGTAATATGTAGTGAAAGCCCCCGACACCCACTAATTCTTTGTCTCTATTCGACAGCCTTTCTTCTAGTTCACCTACGAGCATTTTTTCCGTAACCTCGTCAGTGACCTCCTAAGTAACCCGATCTAACGCAACAGCAATTGCGCTAAATTGGTTTGGTCGCGTTGTAATCTACTCTAATCTAACTTAATCGAGTGCATCGTTTCACGCGAACTGCCTCGTCTCTACTAAAGGATAGTTAATCAGTCATAGACTTCTTGAAATTCCTTCGTCGTAACTCAGCAACCCTTTTTTCGTCTCACGGTGGACAGCGACGGAATAATAAAAAGGAGCTGAACGATCACTCACCATCGTCGCTGATTTCGAGATTCGTGTAGCTGTCCCAGTGCAGGATGGGATCATTATGAGCGGAAGCATGCGGTACTGCTGGCGTTGGCGCCGGTATGGGCCCATCTTGACGCTTGGCGTCGGTGGCGAAGTACAAAGTCACCACGCTGTCCGGAGGACATCGTGGGTCGTCGCAAGCCACGTCCAGTTCCGATCGAGGGAACGACACCACGTTCTCCGTTATTACACAGGTATGGAACTGAGTGGAATCAAGAATTCGTTTTATCGAGATGACAGCGATGGTTTTTAAGATAGTTTAGATAGGAAGTAAATTCGATAAAATTTACCAGGGATTAGGACTTTATGTGTTCAGTTATCATATTCGTAGAAAGTTGTGCATATGTTTCTTCTTTGTCAACTGTAGGTATAATATACATACTAGCGCCTTTTCGCACAATCAGACTAACATTAGTGAAATTTTGACAAGTCATAGATTACAAGTTACTAGCGTTAAGAAAATCCTCGTGATAATAAAATGTTTGGAATTAAAGAAAATGTTACACCCGACAGAACATTCTATCAATTATCCCACTAGACATAAAATTCGAAAATCTTGAAAGTGTAACATCGTAAAACTGTAATATCGTAAAATTGCAAAATCTATAACTTCCAATTAAGTGGTATCTTCTCAATTCCCTAATATCCGTTATTATCATTTGGTAAACCGTTGCTAAAGAGCCGAGCGTCTTTACCGTATCAGTTTCAAATACAATCGAAGACAGTGTTGGCCGATTAACGAAGCATTACTTCGTTGTTTGATGATTTGAACGTTCAACATAGCTCATAGTTGTCAGGAAAAGTGATACGATCTAATTACGTTCTTCGACAGCGACCGAATCAACGTGATTAGAATTGGAGAAGTTTATGGTGAGTGATTTCGACCGCGACGTGGTTAGTTGGTAACAGTACCAACAGTAATTCACGTAGTATCGTTTGCAGGAGGAGATGAGAATGGAAATGGGTTTATGTACATTAGTCAAACATAGTTCGCTGGCAGGATTTCTTGTCGAGTGCACATTTGAATCTGTCAATTCAGTTTAATTGGGAAAGTTGTCGCTCGTTTTCGTCTTACCTGCAGGGAGAACATCACTTCCCGGCTCTGCTTCGAATACACCCTGTGGTAACATTTCACCAGAATGTCTCCCCTAAGACGAAGACCTCCGAGATTTACGGTGAACTCGCGAGCGTTTGTAACGGAATAGAGATCCGAGGTGTAGACTGGTGTCAGGCCTTCGTAGACCTTGAGGAATGCTCGGCAACCTGTAGGCTCGAAGAGTGGAACGCCCAGAACGGTGAGATGCGTTAAATAAAGTGGAGATTGACTGATCCTCAAGGAACCTGACAGAAGTCCGCTGAAATACTTGATGTACCTGCGAGAAAGAACCGTAGAAATTCTTATGTAGTTTTTCTAACCATTTCACTACTGTGAATGATTGCTATTTCCCATCACGAGGGAATTTCACTCAACTACTGAGTAGATTATAATCGCTCGAAACGCAATATTTATTTTGTTAAATATACTGCATTCCCTACTTTTCATATTAATTTGCAATTAATGCAGCAAATGTCAATATTTAAAAATATTTTCAGAATATTAATGTGAGTCATTTTTTTTTTATTCATATACTCTACAAAACACGCAACAAATGCAAACTTTTAGCTGGCATTAACATTATACGGTATATATGAACTGACATAACTACCATTAACCGTATTATGCGACTATTTTTTCGCAGAAATATTCACAACGAAAGTGTTATTAATTCAGCGATTTCCATCTAACATGACCAATTTTTACCACAGGGAAACATTAAAAGGCAGTGACTAGCGTGTTCTAAAATTTCATAATGGAAACATTACGACAGGCGACACGATCCAGCAATTACCACTTCAATAGTGCTTCCCAGGCGTGTTATATCCACAACATAGGTCAAGGTGAAGCTAGCCTCCTTATTTTTTACAATACAGTCTCATCGGTAAAACAATGCTTGGTAAAACAACAACAACAGAAACGTTTCCATCACGAAACACTCGAGGGAGCAAAAAGAATGGATCGAATCGCGACCGTTCCGATAATAATTCATGTCCGACCACGTATGGCCGATTCCACTTCACACGAGCGCGGCCCGTATTTGGCTGCTGTCGTAAGTTACAACTCGTAACGCACCGTGCGAAAGTATTGTAGCGTCTCCGACTGTGACACTCGCGTGCTAATTAGTGTCTGACCACGAATGGACTTTTCTACTTCTCGCGTGGCCTTTTACCGTGCGACTGTATCAAACGAGTGCCGCGAAAAACTTTCGATAAACAGGACCATAAACGGGACCTCTGCGCGCGATTCAAGCTAAACGAAATGCCTCCTGGATGGCTCGTAACAGATTATTGACGGGAGACGTGAACCGATGTTTTCAATTTTTTATACATTCAGAAGGGGCAACGTGATCGACGTTCTGAATCTTTTTTCGTTACAGACAGGAGACGTGACTCGACGTTCCTCGTTTCATAAACGTTGACATATTTTCTAGGAATATATTTAAAATTTAAATTACTAACGATTTATTTATCTCGTTTATCTCCACGTTCCATATTTTTATGAATAGAGCGAAAAAAATGGGAAAAAATGGGAACGAAAGAAATGGTTATTTTATATGTTTTCGTTATCCTATACGCATTCTCCTGATTTTTGCACTTTCGTTATACTAAACGCATAAAAATCCACTGTCTATTTATTAAAGTGCCAAAAATTTGTTTCACGGTATACCGTCAACAATGTGATAAGAGACGTTCGCCGCGCGGAGAGATCGATTAATAGTCCCACTTGTAATACACACGGCAAACACGGAAGAGTTGATCAGGTCCAAACGAACCCTGTTCTGAGGTACCTGTCGATTATGCAGCGTCGTGAGCGTTCATGACCGTAATTTCGCGGGATCTCTCACGAATTCCCGCGTGTCGTCCGTAACGAAGCAGATACGATCTCTGTCTCTGGTCGATCCCCTCCGGGTTCGAAAAAAAACCTGTTCCCTTGGTGGCACCTAAGGTGCTTTGAACGCCGCGTTACACACGTCTCGAATGAGCCAGCTAGCCTGGTGCTTCTCTCGACCCTCGATAATGGATTCATACGTTCGCGGGTGTGCGGCTACGCTAACGACATGCTAATGCTCGCCGCTCGTGGAATTAATGGGGAAACTCGATCGTTCAGGGATGCAAGATCGAGGCGGAACGAGGAAGGCGAAAGACCACGAGCAAAGCACAACCGCCGCGACGCCTGGAGGAATGTTTCACGTATAAGGACACCACATTCGACGGGCCATCATTACGATCATCAGCGTAAGCGTCACACGGCGGGAACTAAACGCGAAGGGTAGCGAGGATCGACAGCGGGTAATGCGTACCGATCGTTGTCTCAAATAGATGGCCAAGCTTGACAGGTTTACCTACGGGAATTATGTTTATGCGGTTATTTTACTCGGATTTTTAGGCGGCCCCAGGTCTCTCATTGGATAGACTGGCATTGATGTAAATGCTGTCGTAACTTGGCGTTTCCGACACGCGTTAAAGCGCTTTTAGCAATGCGGAGGTGGTAGTTTGTGTGCTGTTAGTGGATGGTTGATAGCTTCTATAGGAAGAGATTTTCTGCTGTAAAAAGATTAAAAAATTGAGGAAACCAATCTTTCTGGATGGGTACTAGAAAGGATTTGAAAATTGTGGAGAAAAATTGTGCTGCAAGTGGATGTCTTATATCATAGTCGATAGTACGCGCAAGAAAGAATTTCGTGGTTGAAAAACACCAAAATTTTCAGAATTTCATTTCCTCTTTATATGGATATCGAAAGAAACTGTACTTAAAACTTATGCTTAAACGGCGAGTCTCCTATCGTGAGAAGAAAAGAAACTAATTTCTTTTTCGTACCGAATAAATGTGGAAGACATATAGATATATTTCAAAAGAGACTGTACTTAGAATTGTACTGTATGAGTGTACTATGTAGATTTCTGATGTAGGTATATGTAGTATGAATGTGTAGAATTAATTCAATTTTGACCATTTTTGAATCTTACAGTACAATAACGTAGAACGTCATGTAATATCTTATATCTGTACGATCGATGTTTAAGATGTCCATGACGAGCCTGATATCTGCTGAGTTACACGCAATCGAATAAGTATGAGTATATCTAAGAACATGTATTGGTCTTGGTGGTAGTCTATCACGAGATTTACGGGACTTATACGACTGTTTTATTGCCGTTACTATATAGGAAGCTTTTAACTTCAACTTTTTACACGCTCATCAAATACGCATTAGAATCCAACGAAATATGATCAAAGTAATTCGAAAAGATTCAGTGTCTTTTACCAATTCATTAATTGCACAGCGATCGAATATCTCGATAAAACGATGATGTAAATTGGCTAAATGAACATTCGAGGTCTCCTTCACCAACAAGTTTCGTTACACAATCTTCAGAAACCTCTCGCGATATCAATTTCCGATTTCAAGCGATCCAATTAACCGACGCTCACAATTCACACGCTCCAAACAATGTATGCAATTCACGAAAAGAATAATTGCGTCGATTTCAAGAACAATCGAACGCTCTAACGTACATGGTGCATGCATTAACTATGATATAATAATTTTACGTAACGTTTTGAGAATATATAACGAAGTCTATCCGTTTATGACGAAATATAGACAGCAATTTTGAATGCTTTGAAATAGCGGCTATAGAGTAACGTAATTAACCAGTCATAAGGTGGCTCCTGAAGCAGCCACGCCTATGCATGTCGTTCATCCAGGTATTATCTGAGTTATTCAAGACTAAGAGGCGATAAAGTTTACTTTCTCGTTCAACGTCAACAGGCAGTATCGTCATGCACCGTAGCGATTACCTTCGATGCGAGGGAACCTGCAGAGATCCAATTTTGTCGTCGAGGAATCTTCTCATAGCGAACCTGTCCAACGCCTGATCACGTCCGCCGCAGATGCTACTGTAGTTCATGTACGCAGACACAGCCACACCCAATCGTTCTTTGCTTCCCCTGAACAGAGGCGTGGAATGAGCTTCCAACTTTTTACGAACCGCGCCAATTCGTCTTCTTGTCGTTGGAGAAAAAAGAACGGATTAAGACTCACCTGGCGTGGAGAACGACCACGCGATTCGAAGCACCGTTCAGCCAGGAGTCCAGCTCCTTGCATAGGGCGCACAGTCTTTCCAAACTAGGTGCCAGACCCTGCGGCCATCCTGCTTCCCTGGTATTTGGCTCCCCGGTACGACCCGGCGATGACAAATTGAATATCTGAAATTTGAACAGACGTGTGAAAGTTGTAGTTATATTGCAAGATGCTCTGGTATAACCGAATGCAAATACTGTGTGCTCTTTTATGGTTGACCTAATATTATTATTACAAGTTCAAAGGATTAATGAGTTCTCCTGTATAACAATAACAAGTTTGATAAGAAAATAAATGAAGTTCTATAAGCCAATTTTATGAACTACGAGCCAGATGATTATTACGTTCGAAGTACAATGTCAATTCATTAATTTATAATTAGCAAATTATTATGCAAGTGGATCCAGGTAAATCGAGATTTTCAAAATAGAATGATAGATATTTATAAAATAAATGGTATTGGGCGAATTGTGAAGAAATATTAACTTTTTAGGTATATGAAATATCGAGTAATATAGAGTAGTAATCGTGTAACCGTGTAAAATCGACTGATAATTATCTAGCGTTATATAGGTTTCAGAGCATGCAACGCGCTAATTGTAACGCTAATTAGAGAGTATATAGAATTTATCTGGTAATACGTCAATTATCCTAGGATCATTTTCGTTTAATAGGTATTGTTATTTAATAAAAACGTTATATCAGATAAGCGACCATTAATCTGCAGCCGTTTACTCGCCGCTCACCATATAATTATCACCGTGTTTTCCTCGCAGAAGTGCAGTAGCATGTTCAAGGACGCCCTGCGCATCCTCTCTGTACCAGAGCGCAATGATTCTTTCGGTGACGTAACAAAGCTCCATTACTTCTGTAACACGACCTCCACCCTTTCCTGATCCTGTCGTCGTCGCGTCCGCGCCGACGCCCGGCGTCCTTGCAGGTGCCGTCGCCGACAAGGACGTCTGTATCTGAAACACGGGCATTCTTAATTAGTATCATTGATCTTTACGCGCACATTTAATAATTATCCTTATTAGATAAGGCACATAGAACTTAATGTTACTGCTTTTTATGAAGTTTTTATGAAGTTCTTGCGCACCAAAATTTCCTATAGAAAAGATCGAAGAAGAAACTTGTTCATCTGGTTAGTTTTACGCCGCAGATTTCCTTTTTATTAAGAATAAAGAATTTTTAAACGGCTTTGGTATACACGAATCCTAATTTCTGCTAAACTGCCTTCTACAGAATTCTTCATATCCAGAATTCTAAACAAAGGACTCAAGGAGAATACTCGGCTCGCTACAAATATTCGCATTTCATATCGCATTTTCCCCAAAAACAAATAATTCTAGAGTTGCCTCCAAGGTATGGAACCTAGTTTCGCAAACCGCCTTTTGCGGAATTTCTTCTGCTCGAAATGTTCAAAAGAAGCCCATTGAAGAAGCACTTCGCTCAATTCATCAGCAATACGCACAATTTATATTCCTATTTTACCGAACAAAAAACTTACAGTTTGCGCTGCATGAAATTTCTTATAAACCAAAATTATCCGATAAACATATCTAAGAAGCACTCTGCTCGCTTTACTACCAATATTCTTCTTTTATATTCCACTTTTGCCTCGAAAAAAGTTACTTTAGATTTACTACCTAAATTCAGCACATTACTTCATAGATACTATATGAAGTCCACAACTGAAAAACATGATAAATCATATTTTCTATCCTTTACGAAAGAACTGTTTTAGAATTCAATGTGCTGACAATTAAATCTACACGAAAACTATCTTTTCTTTCGATTTTACGATCAAATACATGTTTTTGTCACTCTCTTTCAAATTTAAAAAATATTAGCACATTATCTAGCAGCTATTTTACGCAAAAATGAACACGTTTCACCGGTCACTTTTTACAAAAACTAACTCGTGCAATCGGCTATTTTATACAAAAATAACAAACTTAACCTTACACGTTTCGTGTTAAACATTAAACACGAGATTTATGCACACTTTGTGCTCGAATACACGGAAGCAACGCGTTGAGAATATTAATTACGCAAAGTAATATTAATTAAACGAAAATAGCATAAATTCCTATCTCACAAAACATTACGAGTTTATCGTCAATCTTTAAAAAGCTTCGAATCGATCGGATTATTCCTTTTTTCAACTGCTTCATACTTTTTTTTACAAAATACTTTTTCAAGTGATGTAGGAGCCGGAAAATCACCAAAAACAGACTTATCATATTTCTCCCGTGTGGTCTTCATCTATAAAGAACCTTGGAGTATTTCGGTGCGTAGACGATCCTGACGACAATGCTGTCCGGCATGGCGATGCTGCCCTTATGGGAATCGCCTTGTCCCAACGAATCGACATGAAATCCTGGTGGTTTAACGCGTGCTTTTATCTTGGCGGGACGTCGACGAAGAAGGATGCGAGCACGACACGGCACGAAGGAATGACAGACTGCCGACTATTGTGCGTTCACTCGATTCCACTGAATTCACGACGTTCTACTCGACAGTCTAACCACGGTTCCTACTTGCACAGCTGACGTTCAGCTATTCCCCTTCCTTATACGCCGACTGTGCAACGATTTCTCTCTCCGCGTGCACGTATGATGTAACGAATTCGTCCAGGTAGCGTGACTTCGATCAAAGTCACGCTCGTCATTAGACACAAGTCGCATTAGCCAGTCCCGCGAGCTCGCTGCGCTGACGGACGCGATAAAACGGCGGAGCGGTGTGGCTAACTCGACTTCAAGGGCAATGCGGAAAAATCGTGTCGACGAAGAAATATGAATAAGTTCCTTGTCCGCGAATTGCGCTGCGTCTGCATAAGCTGTCTCGGGTGTAATTCCAGTTGGCGAGTGATCGAACGAGTTTCTCAACGAGTGAACACAGGGCGTGCGCGTCTCGATGAATCCGTGGAAAATTGATACAGTGTGTTTTGGAGGTCAAATAAGCGAGAAAGATCTAGATGTACCGAGATGCATGTAAAAATGATTCGTTATAGAGTCTGTTACAGTGTGTATACATTAGTCAAGATACCGTAGAAAATTCAACAAAATACTAGAAATCAAACTCGCTATCTTTTTATCACTTTTTGAAGATTCTATTCAAGCTTAGAAAATTAAAGAAGTATACAGTTTTCGTCTCCAGGGTACACTGGCAATATGCTACATCGATTTATCCTTATCACGTACGCGTACACGTTGTGCAAGAAATTCCACTTCCAATAAAATTGATCTCCAATTTTGTATTCTATCCTCTTTGCAAAACTATCGAAAGATGTGTCCATAAAATTATTAATTATTGAAAAAAAAAACAATCTTTTTCACAGGATACAAAATGGCTTGTTACAGGATTTTCCACCGTTTCCTACAAATACTTAAAGAATGATTATTCTCTGCACTCGAAAGTATATCTCGCGCAAGATGGCCCGGAGCACATCACAACTTTATCGATATACTTATCGTCAGAACGACCTTGCGAAGCGTCATAAACTTCTCTGAAAGATGCAACATCCCATACACTTCCTATCTTTGAAACGTCCATTTCCCTCGTCACACCGCGGAATAATTCAGCAGAATGAAGAAGAAAAGGTACCGCTGCACGATCCCGTAACGCTATCACAGAGAAACCGCCGCCGACAAAGTTTACCCATTGCGATCCTGAATGAAAAATCAGCCCGCCGTCAGGCGATATTACGACTTATTCGCGCGTGACGCCTGACAAATTGCACGAATATCCTCTTTGTCTCTTCCGACGCGGTGGACTTCGCGCGAAAAAGGATGGTCGTGGCACGGTCGTCCGATACGAAAGGCCCCCCGTCGATCTTCGAATCCTAAGCAACCGTGAGAAATACGAAGGACACGCGGCATACCGAGGTAGGCTGAGCTTCCAAGGAACGACAGCTGCGGTAGGACCGCGCTAGCGTAATGGCAATTTCACACGTGAGACCTAACGCTGGGAGGGATTTATGGTTGTAGCAGACCACGACGTACACTATCGTCCATAAGTATTTGGACGCTTCTAAAACATCGCAAATATATACCTAAACTCGTGGCACAATTGACGTCATAACAGACGCCATGATTCAAGGTAACACGAAGATCAACTATAATAAAATTACGTTGGAGGTCACCGTGATACTAATTTCGTGATACAGCTGGAGTCAGAAGAGATTCTATGGTCCAAGGTAACGCGGAGATCAAACATAATCAAGTTATACTGGAGGTTTCATCGTCGAGGAAATCAAGTTTGAGAACTTGTCAGATACAGTGGAATTCCATTTATCCAAACTTGTCGGGAGACAAACGGTTTATATAATTGGAGTTGATATAATAGGAGCTTGCCAATTATCCTCGCTATCTACTAGCTTTTGTTCATACAATAAGAGCTCAGATTCAGATAAATGAATTCAACCAGCAAAAGATCAATTAATCGTACATTAACTAAAATCTCGTTCATATAAATGGAATTCTACTGTATAGAGGAATTTGTCTGCTCCCAACTAGATAGAAATAGACAAGAGACAGGAGATTATTTAACACGTGAAAATAATTCGAGAATGTGGAATAAAGTACTTTCATTTAACGCCTCCTTTTTTGGAGAAAGTGTAAATTCCACATACGTTTTCAATTTTACGAATACGATTATGATAATCGTGTTTCGTTAGACTGTTAATGAACTTTCAAAATGCTTCACATAACATGCAAACACTATGAGTGTCCAATTACGATGATATCATTACCGAATAATGATATGACATCAAAACTTGTACACGGTAAAATTTTACACCATGATAGCCTATAACTGTTAAACACAATGCTTGATTCCAGTTATAGCGAGAGGTAAGACATTCACAGTAAAAAAATCGTATGTCAGCTATAACTTTAAAAATATTTATAAGAGAAATATCAATCTTTTGATAGAATAGTATTAAGTATCGTACAAATACTTATGGATGGTGTTGTACGCGCGAGTTGAAGTTGACTGTAGCCCGCGAGAGAAGCGGCGAACCGCGTTACGATCTCGTAAACGTATTTTTAGAGGCCAGGTTACTAGCTTCCTCTTTCTCTCTTCAACTCGCTTCGATACTAGCTCGCTGTTTTGACGGGACCGCTGCGGCTACTCGAACCCCCTTTCTTCTGTCCCAGCACGCAGAATCATTAAAATTTCAATTTACATCGAGGCGACACGTGGGCGGAAATCACGATTGAATTCATTGGAGATGAATGAAAATTTTATCGACGTGTTTCGCGTGTTACGAGTGCCGCGTGGTGGATATTTTGTGAAAGATAGATACACGATACTAGCGAAGGAATGTCCGTGTCTCATGTGGAAAATTCCAAATTTGTAACTTTTCACGGGTGAGTTTATTAAGAGTAGAAGAATATAACTATGTTTCATTTTTCTGAAGAAATGAACTATTCTTTCGTATACTCAAGGATATATTTATTCAGAAGAATGTTTATTATATCTTTTGGAATTGTACTTGAGGTAAAGAAAAACTGCAATAGGAATCTGCAGAACATTGAAACTATCGGGTCGACTTAAGTACAAAACTCATAGAAAAGAAACCAAAATCAGAGATACGTGACAAAACCTACGACGCAAAGGAAAACAACATTTTATCCAAATTCCCAGAATTACGCATCGTAAATGTATGAAATGTATTTCTTGGAGATACGATCCTTTTAACTACCATAGTAATTCTTGTAAATGGACCATGATGCCTAGCTATGATATACATATAACTTCAAACGTGCGGCGAATTCAAAATAGCTTGTTTTGATTCTGTGAAGCGCTCAAAGACGTAAGACATTGAGAAGAAGGGTTTGACTGTCAGGTATATTGCTTTTTAATTGATTTTTGTTTACACTGGGATTCTTGCGGCCCTTTTGACGGGCCATGTGTAATTTAGAAGGAATAACCGTAGGCTGTGACATTAGTAGGAAGTAATTATTCGGGGGCGCGAAGGAAACGTCGCGCCGGTAATGCCAATTATCGTTAATCCGCGTAATTGCCGACGGCTAATTTCTAATTGCAAGTGGAGTGCCAAGCGAGAGTGGGCTTTATGGTTATCGACTTCTTTCCGTCTCGACCTCTCTGCTAAGCAACGAGTATATGCCGCCGAGATCCGATCGATAGCGGAATGTTTCGCCAAAGATCCGGAAAGGATGCATTCCAAACCTATCGGGGTCCTAAATTATTCCCTCGAACGTTCATGTTCCTCCGTTTCTCCGATTCTTTCAAGATCGAACATCATTTAGATTAGTCAAGTTATTTGAATTCTGATTGACCTACGATTTACGTTCGAGAATTTTGGACCGAAAACGTAAACAAACTATTATGCAGGGTAGTTGGTAACTGGTGGTAAAAACGGAAAGGGGGTGATTCTATACGAAAAAAGAAGTCGAAAATATAGAATAAAATTTTTTTTTTAATTTTTCCATCGAGACAACGATCTACAGTGAGATCCGTTATAACGTACCGCACGCGTACCGAGCGAAAATTCAAAGTCGATTTTCTCGAAAACAAAGCCTCAAACGAAAAATTTTTATTCTATATTTTCGACTTCTTTTTTCGCGTAGAATCATCCCCTTTCCGCTTGTACCACCAGTTACCAACCACCCTGTATATTATATTATATATTATATTTGGCTCGATCATCGTACTACGGGCTATGCCCGTAATATTTACGTTTGGCCCGATTATCTACTACGAACTATGCCCGTAATGTTTACGTTTGGCCCGATCATCGTACTTGTAGGTTAAGGGATTAATATTACTTTGTCAATACAAGTTGGTTGTTTATTCATTCGAAATATATATCCTTTCAAGTGTATATATCTTTAAGTAATGTAAAATCAATCTACCAATAATGTGAACCTAATACTTGATTCCATGATATTTGTAATATTCTTTTGAGTTTCAAATGCGTCAAGGTTCGTTCCGCTATCCCATGATTCGAAGGAAACAACAGCTATGCTAGGTAACGTAATATGTTCAATAACGTTTACTTCGTCTGGCAGAATCTGGCAGATGCACCAAGGCGTTTTTTAGCAATTCTTTAACTCTATTTTTTTAATTTTATGAATCTATTACCTGAAATCGACTTTGAAGTAACCAACTTTAGAACAGAAGGAAGAAACAGAAAAAGGTACTATCTGCTACTATCTATTATACAGTATCAATCAAAAATTTAAAATCACGTTCTCAGCTATTTCTATGTGTAATGTACCTTATAATTCCGTTATCAGTTTAAAATTAATTCTGCAAACATCGATTCTACTTTCTTTACGTAATTATTACCTAAGGTAACAGAATCTTAAACCAATCACCTCTTACATTTTCCAATCGTACAAACCATGTAGCGTTGCTAAACATTCGACCAGTAGTGTATAATCTTCGCATATCTAGTTCTCACATTTCAAGCATTTTCATCGACACCGAATGCCATCCGAAATCGATAGAGCAATTTCGCAATAAATTTCCGAATGGTTTCCTACGATTATCATTGAGGAACGGTTTCTCGCCACAATCGGTAATAACCAGTTACGAGCAATTGTCAGAATTCCCTCGCGTCGTGCCGCGTTTTGCATTCGATGCTCTTCTCTGTGTATATTTTCACAAGAATAGCCGCGGTATAAGCGTGGATTTCACGAATACATTACATGGCCGACGTCAATATACTTGGATTATCTCCGTGGAACATCGGCTGATACCTACACCGTTCATACGGTGCGCTAGCTTACTGCCATTTTAGCGAATAATTTTCTCCGGTGTCGACATTAATGCGTAAAAGACGCCTTGCTGCTGATCTAGCCGCTGTTATGATTTAAAAAAAGATCCTAATAAAGCGTAAACGTTCCCTCCAAACCACTTCCCAGATCCGTTTTTCATGCTCCCTCTGGCGTTACATTTAACAATCCAACGCGTTGCATTTTCAGATAGTTATCTGGCAAAATCTTGCTCAATAATATCAGTCACCGTTACAACGAGATAAATGATCCACGGGATTAAGGGAAAATTGTAAACTTCCGCTTTGTTCGTGATACGTATAAACAAAGTGCTATAATTTATGAAGCAGAAGCTTCAAAACAAGTTTAATATATTTTGTTACTCTACTGAGTTTCGTTACACCATAATATGTAATAAGTGACGCAATTTTTCTGGAAACTAAGATAATATAACGGAACTCGTTAGAAGACGATAAAAGTGACCTAAAAGAGAAATAGAAAGTTCCGTGGAAAGATGGTAAGCAATTGTAGAAAATGAGAGAGAGTTTATGCATTTATTGAAAATTTATATTTGTAAAGATAATCGCCAAATCTACCGTATGCTGCAATTCCTATGTAATATTTCCCCACATAGAATATTTTCCAGTTCAGCTATTTCCATCCCAGAATTCCCAACCAAACCATAGTTACACTAACGATAAGACCGCTGAGGATAAAATCATGAATGGAACGTAACGATTTACTAACGATATACTATAAATAACTTTTATGTAATATTTCCTTTATACGATGTTTTCTATTTCAATCCTCTTCCAAGTAACCCGAATACCACAAAGATCGAATTACTCTAACAATAAGACCGTTCAGAACGAAAGCACAAGCGAAGCGTAACAATCTGCTAAACATTCTGAATAACTCTTACATAATATTACGTTCGTATAATATTTTCTATTTCATTGCCTCCTATTTCACGATTTTCTCAACGAAACCAAACATGGTAGAAAGCAAGTTACCTCGGGTTACCTCAAGACCACAGAGAACGAAATCACAAGTGAAACGTAACAAGAACGTCAAAATTCTCTGGTTCTCGAGGCGATTACGCAGGTGGCGTGATGCAAATGATTTCGTATGTACGTCTCGGAGGTAATTTCGAAGTCGAGGCGGCTTGTGTGCGATTTTGCATAGTGATCGTTCGCAAAACGCTGAATCGCGGCGTCAGGTACACGTGTACGCGAAAGAGGAGGTTGTTCGCCGTAGACGACGAGCGCTGTTTCGAATGTAAATAGGGCTCGGCCGTGTTTTCCCGCGGAATAAATGAAGGTACCGCCTGATGCAATCGACCCCCGTACTCTCGACCAATAAGACGCCACTTCCTCGTACGTATCACGCGTGGTTTGTTTTAATATTAAATATTTAGAGAGCCCAGGTTTGCGAATGGCGCAAATCGCGAATTCTTATCAGCAAATGATAAGCCACAAGCTACGTAGCAGGCTACGTAGCAGGCCACTTAGCATAACGATCGTGCTGAGCATATTTTTCTTTCCTTTTTCCAACTTCACAAAGCGTTTCTCGCGGTCACGACAAGTAACAACGAATAAATCGTAGGTGCTGCAACGAATGAAAAGGCAGGTCCACTTTCTAGTACTTCGAGTAAACGAACGAGAATCAAATATTGTTCTCAATGTGCTATACAGTCATGAGTCAATTATTATTCGTAATAATGAACTGTTGGTCTTTTGAATATGAAATATACCTTTATTTTTTCAGATATTGGAGCCGCAACAGAAATTCGAAACGAGAACAATGCCTGACAAAAATTTCTAAATTCTTTTACGAACTTTTAATATTTGGAATCATATCGAAAAAAAACTGTGCATTTTTATTATCAATTAGTATTCGTTGAAAAATGTGAGAAGAGCTGCGTTTATCAGGAGACAGAATTAGAATCGACTCTAATTAGCAGACCTACTAACCGAGAGTCTGATGAATAATTTATGAGCTATACGCGCCTGCAATTTTCGTGACTGAAAAAAAAAACACAAATTCCCATTCTATGTAAAGATCTACGAGTTGAATAATTTACAGCGAAATGCAGTTGGTATAGCGAGGAATTATAACAACGCAAAAAATCGATTTTTTACCTGGTGTTGTTGTTTGCTTCTCGAAATGGTGTTAACATTCTTCGGCTGTGCCTCGTAACCTCCATTATGCTGCAACAGAAAAGGAAAAATACTGAATTATACAGGTCTCGCCATGTATATCTACGATTTACTGCAAAGGAATGGGATAGAAAAGAAAGAAAACAAAAGAAAAGAAACGAAAGACCCAAAAAGGAAAAAATGAAAATAAAAAAGCAGTAGTTTCCACGCGTGCACATTAAGGGCGTCGCGAAAGGAAATGGGTTGCCCATCGCGTCGAGCAACGATAACAAATACTACGCGTAAATTATTTCCATTGTTCGGCTGAAAGCAGCTGTTGCGTAAATTCAGGCTGATGTGCGCCACGCGTCTGATAATAAACATCATCGATTCCCAGTGCTTCGATTCGCGTAAATCCCTGGTGGCCTGTGAAAACAAATTTCCGTTCCGCGACCACCCTTGCGTGGGGTGTTTCGATTAAATTTCCCAACGCGAACTCAGTCAGTCGTAATTTTTTCTATCTATTCTATATTATTTATATTTTCCTGTTTATATATTTATCGAAGCGAGAGCGCATGGCGAAAATATGATATCAATCGAACGAAACAATACCCACGCACCTCGCTTTCTATATGGAGGGCAGTGTGCCAAACTGTGAACGCGATACGGTGCAAAAGGGTCTCAGTTTCCTCTCGTAGTGGTGTCTCCTCCTTAAGGTTATTGTTCACCGTGTCCTGGCGCGTGTCACCGCAGCGACAGCAATTTGCTCGCAGCCAAGCGCGCGATAGCGAGCTACTGTTCGAGTTTGTCATGGTTCTTCGGATAAAGGACCCGTGAAACCATGAATAGAATTCACAACTGCTTCGTTGTACGATATTTTGTGTCTACTTTAAGTCTATTTCAAGTGTCATCACACGGAATTTATAGGAACATGATTTTTCAATTGTCAGACTGATTTACTGATTCTTAATAATCTTAATAATATTCCCTCAAATGAAATGTATTACGTGCAGAATTAAAGTCGTGAAGGAGTTAGCAAACGTTGCGGCGAAAGAGAATTTCGAAATGTGGCTAGCCACGTGTCGATCGTACGTCGGCGCCGTGACAGGCGTGCTCGTTACGAATTATTCCGCAACATCGGGCACCGCCTTTTCTCTTCCTCCGTCTCTTCTTCTGATCCGCGTGAAACCGCGATCCTCGCCAACCACGGCGATGATTCATGGACGAAAATCATGCCATTAATCCCTCGTTGCCTGTCGAGCGCGTTTCGTCCGCGTTTCCATCGCGCCTCGTTGCTCCGATGCAAAAGAGAGAAAGCAACCGCGCTTTTCAGATCTCTTACTCTATGTATCTACTTATAGGAACTTCTTGCTCGTGCTAATTTGAACGCTCTTCACCGATACGATCTCCGCCCTTTCCACTTCTTTCTTCTCCTCGAGTTGCCAACCCGCATCGTACACCTGGAAGTATCGGCCTTCGTATCGATCGTTTCGCACGATCCATGGATCTATCGGATCCCACAGTTAAAAAATACCACGTATCAATTTCGTTTTAATTCTCCGCATCTGACTGCAATCTCAAGGTCATCGTATCTTCCACCCTCGGTTCAGCTATCTCGATCCTCTATGTATTCTTGACAAGCAGTTTCTCGCCGGGAAATTTCTGTATAACCACCGGTAAATCCTTCCCCTTTCGTTTCTTGTAGCCCAGACGGGCTTACGAAGGGACGACACTCGAGTAGTCAGTGAAAAACTGTCGTAAGAAAGCTTCTGGGTGCCGTGGACGAGCGAGGATCACGCGACCTGGGTCAACCGGCACGAACGTCTGCGCCGCACGGGAGCCGCCCCGGCGCTGCGGCCGCACAGAGGGATGAAACCCTGCATCTCGGCTACGGAGAACGTTTAAGGGGGCTGGAAGAGGGTTGCGGGGCGAGAGAACGCGACACGTAACCATGGAGATGGCAAGCAGCGTCCCGAGTTTGCACGCAGGCCTGGTCCTGCGCCGCGGGTTCTACAGGATCGCACGAGTTGTGCGCGGCACAAGGGAAAAAGGGACGAGGAGAGTTCGGTTATAGGTCGAGTGCCACTCCCTGTAAATATAATTACCCCGCGAAATTGTCGCACGCCCGTGTAACACGATGCCACCTTTGCGAACTTACGACTCGCCGTCTCTCCTCGTGTTCGCAGTGTTGGTTCTTGCATTGTGGATTCTTTATCTAAGGAGCAAATGGGGTTAGTGGTTTAACACGTTTTCCGCGGGATTATTTAAAAAAATAGCGTTTAATAGGCTTTTTGAAGGGTTTGGATTACACTGTGTATTTTCGTTTCTGAAGAGATAAGTGAGTTAGTAGATTGGACGGAGTTTGTTTCTGACACGATAATTTGAAAAAAATGTAGTTTAACAATTTTGTCACATGTATTTACGTTTCGTCTCTCCAGTTTTTTTTTTTTTTTTTTTTTTCTCTATGGGATAATTCAGTTAGTGGAATATTAAATGGAGAGAAAGTTCGTTTTACGCGCGGGAAATAAAAAATATAAAGAAATCGAATTTAAAATATTTAGAGATGTTTGGATCTATCTTTCTGTCTCCTGCTTTTAAGGAATAAACAAGATAGAGGAAGATTAAATACGAGGAAAGTTTATTTCAAAGAAATTCTATTTAATAATTTCTTGAAAACGAAGGGAAGCTTTATATTTCGCGTGGTAATTTCAAGAAATTCAGATGTTTTTCAATGGAAATATTTTGAGATAATTCAACTAGACGTTTCAAGTGTCTTAAATTTAATTGCCACCACTCCAAATAAGTAATAATGTCGTAAAATTTCAATATTGTTCCGAAACAGAGATTTCTATTAAAACTTGATTTTGTTCGATTTTCGGCTGGTCTGATTCATTTTAAACTTCCACAAAATTAATAATACGTGGAATACGTCTTATACGGTCATTTCTGTCGCAGTAGATCGATATGTGTTTTAGATCTGGCAGATTCGATTAAAATTTTACCGCGCTCCACGTTACAGCGAGACCATAAAATATTGAATGACTTCTGAAGAAACGTCTTCTAATATTTTATGCGGCAACAAAAATGCCGATAAATAGAGATTAAATTCAGCGACAGGCGTAATATTTCTCGGTTCGACACTGACTAAATGGCATTTTAGGTATTCTCAGTAACACTTTGCGTAGAACAATGGCGCAATTTTTCTTGACCGTTCGAAGACATTTAGCACGAATTGAAATTAAATTGGTCACTGGCTGTTTCTGCTCGAGCACGGCGGACATGAAGAATATTTTACGAAGCGATAAATCACTTTAACTAGTCCATAGGCTTTCGCGGATAGAACACGTTTTACCAGGACTAGATAGCTGGGATAAATAGACGGGTGTCCTTGTCCGGCGAGTGGCGCGAATAAAGATGCGAAACGTAGTAATTCAGATTCACGGTATCGATAATTTAAGTGGTAGCCACGAAAATACCAACTCGAGGGTTAAATAACCATGTGATTCTATAAACTTGCCTGGCAATGTTTCCGTGCCTCGTGTAAGCCTCTGGAGCCGAGTAACCGATAAATCAGCCGGCAAATTTTACATCTAAATTCCCAGAAGCGGATATACATTATGCAGAAGAAAAACCTTGAATATTGTAATCTGTTGTGTACCGTAAAAAAATATTCAGCTACGGACTACAATTTAAATGAAAAGTATTTAAGAACAGATCAAAGATAAAATTCTTTGGAAGAAACGCGGTTCGATTCCAAGAAAATAAATTAAGGACAGAGTATATTTTTGATTGCTTTACAAAGTTGAAACTTGTTTCTTAATGGAAATGACAGGCAAGAAAAGGACACATGGAAGGGAGGAAATTAAGTAAGATCCGTATTCGTGTGAGCAGAAGTATCGTGCGTTTTTGCACGTAACAGTTGGCGAACCTCTATACAGCAACGATATTTTAATACGAAGAATAGGCAATACAGCGGACGTCGTCGCCAGTCAGATTGCTTAGCTGGCGGCTCAGGTTTCGAGAATTGGAAACGCTTGTGGTCCCTGTCGCCAGCTTGAAAGCAGATGAAACTTTAAAAAATGCAAATTCTCACCAGGAAATTCGCATATTAAATTCGAGAGTCTCGAGTGTGTTTCTTTCGTGACGACGTCCAACCTTGTTCAATGCTAATTAGCCACGTCAACAAATGTAATTTAATTTTAGTCACGCGTGATAAAGACATGCCATTCAGACGCAACAGATATAGAATCTTTCAAAATATCAATCGTTTAAAAATATCAAGACATTTACCTATTTTTAACAAGATCTATTCTAAGTACAAAATTACACATAAATCAAACTGTAATTTCATCCATCAAAATTTCATTCATACCTATCTACTAACAGAATATCATAACGTGATTAAACTCACCTCTAAAACTATTTCGTTACTTGGCAAAATTCTCATCTTCAGATTTTTTATTTTTGTATTATAAGTTAGGTTAAGAAGATCCTTCTAGACTGACAGAAAATCTTTCAATGCTAACGCAAGCATTGACATTTCAATAATAAATGTAATTGATTGTATGCACGTATGATTAGAAAAAGTTATTTATGGAAAACGATTGTTTGTCATTGACATTTTCTATGTTTCGACTAGAAATATCGAAGATACGATTAGAAGAATATGTTATAAGTAAACGTGATACTGTCTGGATCTCGTGTAACGTAACGAACGAAATAATCAACGAGAAGGCAAGCTGCTTCGGCGGAAAGACACCCGATTGGCTAATACCGGCTTAATTGACTTATGCCCCGCAACAAACCGCGCATTACGATTGAGAATCACGTCGAACAGTCAACGAGAGCACAGCTGCGGAGGAATCAACTCTCACTTCGACACAGTCGTGACCGGTACCATGATGAAAGAGTCAAAATAACATTGACGATCGGCGAAGTCACGTCGCGTTGCATTAATGGATAAATTATTGCGAAATTGTACGATGAAAATTGTAGGCGATAGACTTCCGAGATATTTGAAGATTATCGAATCGTGTGAAATTCTCGTGCGCTATCTCTTGATATTTAATTCG